TGTGTGACCGGTGACCAGCCCCCGTTGATGGCCGTGCTGTGACTGGTGACCAGCCCCCACGCGGTGCTGAGCTCTCCCTCTCCCCGCAGCGCTGAAGGGGCAGCTGGACGCCAAGCTCTTCGGGCAGCACCTGGCCAAGGATGTGGTGCTGAAGGCGGTGATGGGCTTCAGCAACAACCCCAGCCCCAAGAAGCCGCTGACGCTGTCGCTGCACGGCTGGGCGGGCACCGGGAAGAACTTCCTCAGCCAGATCCTGGCCGAGCACGTCCACAGCCCCGGGCTGCGCAGCAAGTTCGTCCATCTCTTCCTGGCCACCTTGCATTTCCCCCACCACGACCAGATCAAACTCTACAAGGTGAGGAAGGACACAGGGTAATCCTGACTCCCTGAACCCTTCCCCGGGCCAGGTGGTGCTGTTTGTTTGTGCTGCATGTGTCCCCCACGTATGTGACAACTGGCCATACAGGTGGGTGTTTCCAGGGTTGGTGCTTAGGGGAGATAGAGGAAGTGAAAGGCACCAAAATGCCAAGGAATCCAAACTGAAAGTAATTTCCTAGTGCTGTGCTCTCACTGATGCCATCTGCTGATTTCTGTGGTGCTTGCTGCTAGGAAGGAATCCCTCATTAACTGCGTGCACTGCTGGTGGGCATGGAGAGGAGTTTCCCCCTGCAGCCCGGGCAGTGTTGGTGGCACAGAGGAGCCCTGCCTGGCACGGAGCAGTGCCCACACAGCCTCAGCACTGGCTTTCCCCCACTCACAGCGAGCAGGCTGGGCTGGGCAAGAGATGGGCAGGGGATAGAGCTGGGATAACTCACCCCAGTCACTCAGAGGGATAGTCTGTGTGACACACTGCCATGCTCAGCAACAAAAACTGGGGAAGGAGGAGGACAAAGTGGGGGTGTTGGCTTCCAGGGTGCTTGTCCCTCTTAACACTGGGCAGTAATCTGTGTATGTCCAGCAGGTGAGTGATTCCCTCTGCTTGGTTTCTCCTTTCCATCATCTATCAAACTCTATCTTGACGCATTAATTTTCTCCCTTTTATTTGTCCTCTCTCCTCATGCTTTCTCTTCTCCAAGACTTCCCATCTCAACCTGGTTTTCCTGTCGTATCTATGCATGCAGGAGAAACAATTAGAAAGTCTTTCCTTTGTGAGCAGGAAAAGAATTGACATTTAAATTCAGTGTCACATGTCAAAGGGATCAGTCACAGAGCTTGTGGTCCTCTGTTCAAGAAAAAGTGCAACCAGTGGGTGTGGGATGCTGGCATTTGGAAAGGTGTCCCTGTCACACACAGATATCTTGCAGTACATCTGGAGGAGACCTAGTTTATCAGTGCTTTTCAACCTCTTGTTCCAGGAACAACTGCAGAACTGGATTCGGGGCAACGTCAGTGCCTGTCCCCACTCTGTCTTCATTTTTGATGAGATGGACAAAATGCATCCAGGTCTCATTGATGCCATCAAGCCCTTCTTAGACTACTATGAGCAGGTTGATGGGGTGTCCTACAGGAAAGCCATCTTCATCTTCCTCAGGTGTGTAGTACTCATTTCAGTCATTCTGAGATAAATCTGTGATAATGATGTTCCTCTGGGACCTCATTCAAAGAACTGCTCTGCAGAGAAGACCCTCTCTGGAAGGCAGAGGGGAGCCCTGTGAGCTCTTGTGTGGCCTGTGGTCACCGTGGAGCAGGTCTGGTGCTGTGCAGCAGGCCACTGCAGCCTGCTGAGCTCACAGGCCTGGCCCAGAGCATAGATCATGTGCATTTTAGGAGAGTTCTGCACTGTGTAGCAGTGCAGCAAGCCTGGAGTTAACTGTGTTCACAGCAGCTGCTTTGGTGCTGTGTTTTGTGTTTGTGGCTAAAACAGCCTTGATAACACAGCAATGTTTTGGCTGTTTCTAGATGGTGCTTGCATACCTCTCTCTTCAAATTATTCTTGGAACAATCTTTGGAAAAGTAACATCTTTTAAAGAGAACTTAGAACTAGAGTTAGAAGAATGGGAAGTAGAGGTCCCAATACCTCCTGAAAAGTATGGTGCTTGTATACAGAGATGTAACACACCTAGAGGGTGAGGCCAATTAGACTGTTTAAAGGGTACCATTTTTGTTGGGAGTTATTCTGGATGTGCCAAGACTAAACCTGTAGGAATCCCAACAGTCAATAACAGATGAGCTGGCTGGTCCCTGAAGGGAAAGGATGGGACTGGATAGGTGGAACTCAGGCTAGAAAATTTGCCACTAAACTGGTCAGGAACCTGTAATAGGGCAGTGGTTCCAAATGTAACTATAATAAATAAATTGCAAAATGAAGAACAAACATGGTGTAGGACATTCCTGAGAGGAGATAAGAGAAGTGATAATTTAATTAAAAGCCCCACAGCATTTCATTCCTTTGCCAGGTGGTTCCTTGGCTTAGGGGTAAGCAAACTAGAGAAAGCTCTAGTCAATAGCTGAGCTGTTTTGGAAAGTACTGAAAATAAAACTAGAGATGCCATAATGGCTTTGCAGGAAGAAGTTGCCAGCCTGTCAGAACCCAGAATGGCCTTGGATATGATGATGGCCACTCAAGGGGGTGTGTGTACTGTGGTAAATTCAAATTGTTGTCCAGCTGTAGATCAAAGCAGAAGAATATCTAAAGTCTTAAATGAGATTTGGCAACAAACTCAAAAATTACATGAGGTGCAAAAAGATGACACTTTTTTTAGGTTTAGGCAAGAATTTAAGTCTCAAAGGGGGGAAATTTTTGTAAGGCTGACCAATGTTTTGCAAGATAAGGCCTCACTTTTTTAGGTTTTGCTGAAGTCTGGACTTGGCTTACTTCCCAGTTCTCTGATTTAGGATGTTGGTTCTGAAAGATTATTGGATTAATAATCTTTGTGTGTACCTGTGATGTAATTCAGTGCACCATAAGGTGGTGTTGAAAAATATTTCAAGGTCACAAAGACCAATCTCAAATAGTGCTGATATCCCCCACACCAAAAGAAGACACTAGTGTGGTAACAAGGGCAAAGGTGCAGAGAAATTCCCTGGCATGGGAGAACCCTGCAGGATTCAAAAGAAAGGTAGAGGAAGGATATTGTGAGAAGTGAGACTGAAATGATCTCGGGTAAGAATTTAAGTCTCAAAGGGGGGAAATTTTTGTAAGGCTGACCAATGTTTTGCAAGATAAGGCCTAGAGGGGGAAAACAAGACATTAAGCTTAAAAAGAGGTAGAGTCTTGTAAAGGAAAAGGTAACATAAGGGTTGCTAAAATGATTCCCTTCCATAGCTAATGACAATGTGAATGTCCCACCCCTCCACAGACCCAAGGTACTGTCAAAAGGAAGAGGGTTAACAGGGGTTCCAGATCTCACACTGGGGATCAGGAGGCAGGACCACCTGGGTAAGCTCTGGATGGTCCTAAAAGACAGCAGGAGTCTTGGGATAAGGGAATGCTGAATTCCTGCCTCCATGGGTACAGTCAGGAGTGACGAGATGACTGATCCATCCTTTGCTCTTCTGTAATTTCTTCTTTGTAGCTATTTTGTCTGTAAGACTTGGCTCACATCTCAAAGGTGTGTTAGTTTTGTGTGTTATCCCCTGGCACCCCTTTCCTGCACACATCTGGAGGAAAAGCAAATACCTCAACTCTGTGTCTTGACTGGATTTTGCACAGCAGGTAAATAACCCAGTTTTGGGACACTTGCAAAGCCCCAGAGCCTTCCTTGGCTTTTCTTCCCCTCCTTTTTTCATAGCCCATGACACTGTCTCTATCTTGACCCACAAATCTTCTCATTATTGTTCTTCCTGTTTTCTCCTTCCATTCTGCTGGGGCAGGTGGGTAGGTGCTTGGCTGCTGGCTGGGGTCCACCTACATGCACTGATGGAAAAGAACTGGAGACTTTCCTTAAATTTTGGCTTACAGGTTTCTATTTTGGTGGTTTGTTTGATATCAAGAAGATTAGCAATCCATGTAACTGGCTAAAAAGAACTTCAGGTTCAGTGGTGTGTGTATTCAGGTTGTTGTGTGTTTTTCTTTTATGAACAGCAATGCAGGAGGTGACTTAATTAATAAAGCAGCTCTTGACTTCTGGATAAGTGGAAAGCAAAGGGAGGAGATTCAGCTGAAGGACCTGGAGCCCATGCTATCTGTAGGAGTCTTCAATAACAAGAACAGTAAGTCACTTTCTCCAGAAAAAGGGGAATTCCTTTTACTTCCTCACCCAGGGTTCATTCCTTGACCCTGTCTGATTTTCCCTTCACTCCAGGTGGACTGTGGCACAGCAGCCTCATCGACAGGAACCTCATTGACTACTTTGTCCCCTTCCTGCCCCTGGAGCACAAGCACGTGAAGATGTGCATCAGGGCTGAGATGACAGCCCGTGGCTATGCTCCTGATGAGGAGGTGGTTCAAGCAGTGGCCGATGAGATGACGTTCTTCCCAAAAGAGCAGAAAATCTTCTCTGACAAAGGCTGCAAGACTGTACAGGCCAAGCTGGACATTCACGAAGACACGATGAGGGATACAAAAGCCAAACACTGATTACCCTTCAGGTCTCCAAAGCACTTTCACAGCTTTTGGAAATCTGTGTATTTGCACTTCAGCTTTTTTACTTTTGCAGGGGTACAGTGAAAATAACAGGGTGAGCTGTGTGGGCTTTTTAACATTTGGGGTTTTTTTAAACTTCCCATCCTGGTGTTTATGTCTGAACTGGCTGGTATCCAAATGTTGCCCCTTTTTATTTTTCTTTTGATCTATAGAGAATGTCTGAATGTGACACACATCACACTGGATACAGCCTCTCCTGCTTTATTCTCCCAAGTGCTGGGATTATGATGTGTTTAATTCCTCTTTCCACAAAAGCTAGACTAGAGCAAAGGAGAATAGAGGCATTCCTTCAGGCAGTCATATCCCCTTCCTTGTGCCCGGGCTCGTTCATGGGCTAGTGCAATGAAGGACGTGTGGTGTGTTCAGGACTGGGATGGTGCCAGCTTGAGGTGTGGTGTGGTGAAAAGCTTCCTGTCCTTCACAGCCAAGTGCTGCTGTTGTGGCTTCTGTAGACAGCATGAGCTGTCTATAGACACATTCAGGGACTGAAGGGCATGGTTATGGTTATCTGAGCTGTGGCATCACACGACTTCTCCTGCTACAGTCAGATGGAAAGTCATGATGAGCTCTGGGAAAATCTTATTAAATAATAGAGAAAGGGTGTTAGGAAGGAAGCAGCTGCTTGCCCTGTGCTGCTTTGGGGAAAAAGAAATTGTAAAAGAAACTTTATATTCTTCTAACTAAGGGGGGGGGGAAGTGAATTTGTGTAGCAACTCCAGGTCTTCCTAAGCAGAGGGATCCAACTGTTACAACATAAAAGGTCAGTCTCCTTAATGTGAAAATTTTCTCATGAGGATTTGACTGTTGCAGCTTGTCAAGTTAATCTGCGTGCAGGCTCCTGGGCCTGAAGTCTGCAGGATCCTCAGTAGTCCCTCCCAGCTGCACCAAACAGTCCAGGAGTGGGTAATGCTACTCTCACCTTGCTTAGAAGACACTTTCATAGTAGAAGTTATTTTTAATAGCATATTTTTATACTGAAGTGTGAGCAACAGCAATACAAAGCTCTCATGAGAGAGCCACAGAGAAAGGACTATGGGAAAGGGGAGCAATCAGCAATCCCATACCTCACTAGAGAAGTATGTTTTCTAGGAGCTTTTAGCATTGAAGAATGTCTGTGTGGAAGGGTGAGTGAGGAGCTGGGAAGCTGGGAAAGGTGGGTTTAACCTTCACCCACTGGTGAGGCTGGGGTTTAATACTCTGTTGCAAGCTTTAACTCTTTCATCAAAAAACTTGTGGGTCAAATACTATAGTGCAAGACAGAAGTGCCTCTCACTTGGTTCATTGGGGTGTGTTTTTTAAACTGGTATGAGGGATTTGGCTATTTTTCCTTCACTCTTACTTAAACTTGCTTTAAGATGTGATGCAAAACTTAAGGTCTCAAGATTATGATGTTAATTCAAATTACAACCCAGAGCTTAGCATTTCTGTTAAGCTCTTCATGCAAAGTGTCAATTGCCTTTTACAACCCCAAATGCTGGCAAACTGTTTGTGCTGATGCAATCTCCAGAGCCAAACACTAGCCAGCCATTAACCTTGGGACATTGGACTGTTGCTTTTCATCTAAGTTTTGCCTATTAAGTGACTTATTCATCTTTGTGTAGATGCTGCATCTAGTGTCAGTTACTCCAGAGACAAAATAGGTGTGCAATTTCAAAACACTAAATATTGCTACTGTACTGCAGTTGAAATAAATCCCAAAGTCACTTTTCTCTCTTGGTTTGTTTTCAGCTACAGAAAGTACTAGTTTAGGCAGTTTTCAGCCAGCTGTGCTGCAGCTCAGCTGTTCTTAAAAATTTGTTTATAACAATAGCTAAGCAGATTAAGTAGCCTGTTGATATTAAAACATGTTGAGTCACCCAACAGCACAGCAAGGAATTCAGCAGTTAAACACAGCCCAGCAGAAACAAACACCTCTGAGAAAGCCTTGAGGTCTCTGCCTGCTCTGCTTCACAGTTATGAGCAGATTATCTCCTACCAGACTAAGGCACTGGCACAGATACACCTCAGGGAGCTGGTTTGAGCATTCCTCCTCTGCGCTGGGGCTGGAAGGCTGGCACCCAAGGTGGCTCTTTGCCTCTCCTCCAGCTGGCAAAGGCACGACAGGACCACAGGCTTCCATCACATCTCCTTGAGCCAGAGCATCTGCAGCCTCCAGTGCTGAAAAAAAGCCAGCGTGTCAATAAGGGACTCACTGAAGTGAGGTGCAGCCCTTGGCAAGAGCTGGCACCTCACTGAGCAGTCACTTGTCCACACTGCCCTGACCCTGTGTTGTGATGTCACGGAGCACTAGGGAACTCCTCACAGAGTGTATCTGGGCTGTGTGAGCTGTGCTGTTCACCAGGACTTTGCACCAGCCCCGCCAGCTTGGCCCCGGGCAGCAGAGGAGGCTCTGGGGCCAGGCTGCCTCCTTCTGTCAGGGGAAATGGTGATTTTACAGCACAACATCCTGCAATGTCTCCTACAGAAGGTTGAGTGAAAGCAGCAGTTGCTTGTACCAGATTCTGGGGAGAATAAAATTCTCCCCTGGCACCTGCTCAGCTCCTCTCCCCTGGCCAGTGGGCTCTTGTTTTAGGGGTCAGACCTTTCCCCCCCTTTGATACAATCAAATCCTTGCCATGCCAGATGCCAGCATTGATGCTGCAGTGGCACACAAAACAGAACTAGGAATATTTCATGCTGAAGAGCCACAGGACCACGTGGCTGAACTGTGTCTCAGTGAGAAGGTACCAGACAGCAGGGGAAGTTTATCATTTTCACATCTGCCTTCTCCATTAGCCAGTAATTTGCTATGATCAAGAGGTCAAAGAAACAGATAAATACCTGAGTTCAAAGCACTCACTTGCTGACAAATCTGCATGTTACACAACTTCAGAGCAGAACCCCAGTGGAGTCCTACTGGCCCCTTCACTTGCCCTTCCAGAGAAACTTCAAGATGCTGCCACTGAAAATGGGGGTGGCTCGAGTCAGAGCATGCAGGGTGTTGAGTGGTACCACAGTGGGAGGAGGAGAGGAGAAGCAAGGTTTTAACTAGTCTCTAGAAGACAAGTTCATCTTTATGATACTTTTGAGCACATACAGCTCTACAGAGTCTGCCTCTACACAAACTGAGTGAGTGTCATTAGTACTGGTGGTCCAGCAGTGCAGTTTCCACTCCAAACTTCATTTGTTTCCCTCTCACCAGGTGGCAGAGTCACAGCTCCTCCCTCTGCTCCCTTTGAGCTCGGGCAGGGAGACAGGTATTCAAGCCCAGGGGAACACTCCAGCACAGCTTCACACAGCATGCTCTTCCTCAACAAGCAGGACATTTGTGCAAATGTAACATCAAAGAACACCAGAAAGCAGCTAAGAAATACATTTCTGATGAGAAATGTTTATTCTGAATATAAACTGGAGTGAAAAAAAAAAAAAAACAACCCTCTGCACCCCTCACATTTAGAAGCAAGTCTGACACTTCACTGTAGCTTCATTTGACATATGCCACATTTTTTAACCAAATGCCTTTGGGTCTTCTTCCTTCCTGGCTCAAAGGCATACAAGGTTGTGAAAACAGGAAAAAGGGAAAACCCTGTGAGCTGGTCCCCAAGTTCCACATGTAGGTGAAGAGGAGAAAACTCTTTTCCATTTCCTTGGTGTAAATTCAACCTGTACATGTTTCCCATTAGATTGCACCCTCTCCATGAAGCTGACTCACCAGTCAGAAATCACACTTTTCTCCTGCCACAGGTCACACCATGGGCAACTTTAGGCATCAGAAAACCACCCCAAATAGGAACCAGCTACACTGATATGGCAGTCAGGGATTTTAACTCACTTCCTTGTAGTACTAAGTCTGCCCTGTGAGCACTATTCACACCAAAGAGTTTCATCTTCTTGGTTTGACAGGCACAAGACCAAATTACACTGTTTTAGAAAGACACTGGTACTGCATGATGCTGGATAGAAGACTCTGGACATTTTTAATTAGAATCCCCCCTTATCTTCACTGGAGCCAAGCTGTTCAAAGAGAAAAAGACACACATCCTCCTTTTAATGCAGTTCTATTCTCACCCAAGTCCAAGGAAGGCTTTTGCAGACACAGGAACTTGAATTAAAATTCTCAATATTGTCTAGAGATCATCCACATCAAACCAAAATCCAATTAAAAATTAGATCATAGTCTCAGTCCTTCTATCTGTGCCAACAGTCTGCCCAAACAGTCCTGATGATGGAGACATGATCCCAGAGGAGTCTTCAGCACTGGCAGACACAGACCCCCCACCTTCCCCCTTCTTACCTTGACAGCACAAGGCTGAGGTACCTGGGAGCTGTGACTAGTGACAGAATAAAAATACAGAGGCACTGCTGCTTATTGACACACCAGGTAAAAAATATTCCTTTCTTTAAAAAGTGCTTAAAATGAAATGTCCTGGGTTCTCCACTTTGTGATTAAATTAAATTTGCTTCTTTGCAGGTTGTAGCAACGAGGTGTTAGAAGTCATAGTAATAATCCAGCTTTGAATCCACAGTTTTACATCCTTTATCTGAATAAATTCTCTCCTCTCTGGGGAAATAGGTCATCTCATCAGCTACTCTGCTTAAAATGTCTTCATCCACAGCACAGCCCCGTGACTCCATCTCAACCCTCACACACATTTTCACATGTTTGTATTCCAGAGGCAGGAAGGGAACAAAGTAGTCAATGAGATTTCTATCAATCAAGGTGCTGTGCCAAAATCCACCTACAAAGGGAAAGAAAAGGGGCTTGTTACTGCTCCTCTAGTTAAACACTACCATGGGTTGAGTGCAAACCCTCTGCTACATACCAGTAAGAACTCACTTGTGGTTTTAGGGCCCTATAAAGCACAAGTAAGTCCAAATACAAGCCCCTTCTCATGGTACTTCATGTACAAGGTCTTGGAGAGACCCATAAATGTGGTGCATTGAAGCTGAATGAATGAATTCTGACTGAATGCATTTAAGCCTTGCACCCCAGGCCCTTGTCTCACACCTTCCCCTCTGTCCCCTACAGAACAAATAAACCTGGGCAGCACTACTGCCTGCAGCAGGGCTGGCACATCAGCTTATTGCTCCTAAATAGCTGCCTGAAGACTTTTAACAGCCTGAGCAAGACAGGCTACATGGGTTGGGGGCCAAGGAAGTGGCTTACCCATAATAAAACATTTTATTGGTTTAAGATTTTTCAGCTACAGCAGGATCTAGCCTTACTGTCAGGATTTCTGTTTGCTTTCCTTTCAGAACATCAGTCAAAGCACAGCTTAGACTTCCCCCAACAGATGCAATCCAATGGAGAGCAGACAGGCTGTTGGCCAGTGTGCAAACAGAGCTCCACAACCTTCATTTCATCTCAAGAGCTGACTGGAGGCCCTAAAAATGCACTGCTGCTCTTTGCTAGCTGAAAACCCGAGGCCACTCAAGTGGAAAGTGTAAAAACGCAGCTAAGCGCAGCCCTTTGTGGGACTTTCACAACCTCAGAGGCAGTCACAGCTTTACTCACTGTTTTTGTTATTGAAGACAGACACAGAGAGTGCATTTTGGATATCTGTGAGCTGTATATCCTCCCTGGTCCTCCCGTTTCTCCAGAAATCCAGTGCCACCTCTGTTATCTTCTCAGCGCCTGCATTGCTAGTAAAGAGAAAACAAAGGCTGCAGCCTGAGGCAGCTCCAGAAGGCACTGGCTGTGCAGAGCAGCAAGCCTGAGAGGCCACTCCTCACCTGAGGAATATGAAGATGGCCTGGCGGTAAGACACCCCATCCAGAAACTCGTAGTAGTCCAGGAATGGCTTTATGGAGTCAATGAGTCCTGCGTGCATTTTATCCATCTCATCAAAGATGAAGAGGGATCTGGGGCAGATACTCACATTTCCCCGAATCCACGACTGCAGCTGGTCCTGAGCAGCAGAAAAATAGGAGAAGATGAAAGACTTTGTGTTGAAGAGATAGAAAGTTGCACTTCTGCTTATTGATATTTGTCCTGAAAGAGTCATTTCAATCGTGTCATTTTAACAGCTTTGGCTTCTTGACTAAAACACGGTTAAAATCTGTAAACTAAACTTTAACAGAACCCCATCCTGGTTCTGAAAGCTTTTATGATGTCAAGAGACAGGATGGGAGAAGCAGAAAATCTTGTGAGAAAGGTATTCCTGTAAATGCAGCAAAATGAAAGTGCACATTGGCACAAAGGATGGGTAACCACCAAGGAGCAGCAACACAAAGCAGAGCCCTGACAAGTAAGGTGATTGCTTCTGGCAGCTGAAGCATCATGAGGTGTCACAGCTATGAACAATGTTAAAGGTGCTGCCTGAGCAGCACCAGTGAGAAATGGCACCTGCAGCCACTGGCAGAAGGAGAAACAGAATTTGATTCTCAGCCCTGTGTTGTAATCACTCAGAAGGTAAATGAAGACAATTACCAGCCCTTCTTAAACCACAATATTGTTCAATAGGGCTAAAGCTTTATTGTATTTAAAGATTCTCTCAATTAAATGCTGCATTTTTCTCTTACTCAAGCATTACATTTAAGACCAATAATCAAGTAATTGGGGAAAAAAAAAAAAAAGGATTTATCTGCTGGCAGATGAATGAGAAATAATTGTTCTGACCATTTTCAATTATTCATCATTTTTTAATATCCACTGTGCACTCAGTCCCTGAACTGCAGGGGCAGCCCATGAAGGTGGCACTGGGTGTATTTTGGACAAGAAGTAATAGTTCTGCTGCCTTGGGTAGCAGGTTTCCCAAGTGATTTTACCTTGAAACTAAAGCAGAAGAGGACCCATTTTATTCTAAAACAGCTCAGCTGTGAGAAGAGGAAACATGTACTTCCTCCATTTAGAAATCAGATTTGTAGACTATTCAGTTCTCATCTTTAACGTACACAAACTGAATGTAACCATTCAGTACTACAAAAGCCAGTGGTACTTATTCAAGCTCTGCAGTTAAAGTTAATTACAGAAAAAACCACACCAAAACAAACAAACAAAAAACCCCAACAAACAGAAAAACACACATCTGAGCTACCACTTCACACAACACCCCCTGCCTAGAGAACTGCACTGATGCTTTGCAAACTGGCAGAACAATTCCACATACATTTATCTGTACCTTTCTGACAACAAAGTATTGAGTGGTTTTGTTTTACAGCTGGGAAGTGGACCCATAGAAAAACTAATACTGCTCAGCATGCAGCAGAACTGAAAAGTACAGACATGCCTCAGCTTAGTGTGGTACCTGACACACTTGGAGGCCATTGTGTGGTTCCCTGGTTCATAAACTGTTATTTTTTGCAGTGCCCACCAGCAGCATGTCACCCAGCCACAGACACCTGCTGAATCGCCCTTATCCTTAACTCAGTCACACCCCTAGGCAAAGTGTAGAATGAAAATTAACCCCTGTCATCCTTCCCTAAAGAGAGGCTCAAAACATTCAAGAAAACTTCCCACTTATGGACAAACAGTCCTGATGGATGCTGGGATTTACCCAGTTTTGTACAGAAGATGCCCAAACTAGATTTTTGCTTATGGAGCAAAACTAGAAGTAGGTAGATACAGATTAGACATTAGGAAGAAGTTCTTCACCATGAGGGTGGTGAGACACTAGAACAGGCTGCCCTGGGCAGTACTGGAAGCCCCCTCCCTGCAAGTTTTTAAGGCCAGGCTGGATGGAGGCCTGATCTGT